CCCCAACAACCTGTCAAACTTCTGAAACTATCAACTCAGACTCCGAGTATTCCAGGGAGGAAGTCAGCCGTAGCCCATAAACCTCAAACCTCACATAACATGTATTTTTTAAAAAAAATAAACTGGTCAGTTTCAAACTACGTTAGCAAGTTTTTGTTTTAGGATCCCATGGAATCCCAACATTCTCTCTTTAAAACACGAATGAATACACAAGTTCTGGATCCTCTTTAGTGGGCACTTGACTTGATGAATGCGTAAGTCCTATTAGAAGCCAAAGGCTGTATATCACAACATAAACAACACTACTACTGTGTCAAGATTCAAGTTTAATACTTAGTATTTGAATTAGATTTTAAAATATAAACCTGATTTTAAAATCCAGATATGACCTGCAGTTGCCAATAATCATGCAGTCTTCACTGACCAAGAGCAAACCCCACTCGCAACTTTAGAATCACCTAACAATCTGAAAAGGCAGCCTCACACCTGTAATGTTAAGCTTCTGAACTCCACGTACCTTCGTTTCTGTTATCATGCCGTCAAAGGGACATGAGTACACTGCTATCTTTGCATCTTTGACAGACGTCACATCGCCTTCCACTTCCTTCTTGAAAACCATGCCATGCAAGACTGAAGAGGAGCAGATGCCAGAGCCCTGAGGAGCGACACCAAAGCCACCAGTGAGCACATGAGAGAACACCTGGACTGAAGTGTCAGTTCTGCAATTTACCAAAAATACTACCCTCTAATTCAAGTCACACACACACCAGGGCAGTGATTCATGGAGATGAGGGGTGGTACACATACACACACCAGTCTGCTCTGGGTAGAACTCACTTTGGGACTGAGCCACTGGTATGGGGTAGGGAAGAGGGCCTTCAGTACAGTGGAACCAAAGACAGAAAATAACTGCTCTAAGCCACCCATCCATCCATCACCCACCCACCAAGCACTGCGTGCCGATGGACCAGGCACACGGTCAGTACTGGGACAGATCAGGGAACAAAGCATGATGTCAGATCTCACAGGCTTACAATTTAAAAGGGAGGGGGCAGTGCGTGGAGGGAGTCAGAAAATAGGTAGCATGGACACACACTTACATACAAACACACAGAGCCAGCACATGTATTTATGTAGGCGAAACTCTGCTATATCAACGACCACATGCCAACATGCAAAACCGCTACAGTTACAGGTTTCATTACACCGAGTAGAAATTTTTATCAAAAAATACAAGCTTATTTCAATACTAACGTTAAAATGAACTTTATTATTGCAGAGCAAAATGACAACTTCTATCCCACTCAAAAGTGCCTTCTAAGCTCATGGCTCTAACATGGCAGGTTTGAAGAAAACAAGGGTTAGTGTTTGTTGACGTACTGTTCTCACCCCGCCAAGCTGTTGTGGAAAACATGACCGTTCAGGGAGACGTCAACTTTCTTAAATTTAAGTTCGGCACTATTATCACAACCAGCCACACTCAAATGTTATGTAAATGACGCTGCCAAAGGAAGGAAGTCACAAGTGTCCAAAACCGAGGTCAGGTTTAGATGCAGATTAACACAAAAAACTTTCCCCCTAAAACAAGTAACTTATCTAGATAAATGTTAATGCATTTTCTAAACTTACCAGAATCTTACAAACTCTGATATTATCAACGTTGAAATGGCCAGAATCAGGAAAAATAGACACTGTTGAGAAAACAAGACACATCAAGAGCTATAGATGGGACAACAGAGAAAACATCAGCCACATTAAGACACAATCTTCTGGGTCTTTCAGTGTTTACTGCTCTTGACTCACCGCAGGCCTGAGCAATGAGCTTGGCCAGAAAGGCTTCATTGCCATACTGCTTACTCATGATGGACGTGTGGAGCAGAGACGCCACTTCATCAACATCTCGGAGATTTTTTGCAGAACAACAAACCAAATTGGGAAGAATCTCGTGGGCTTTCCTGCAGGCTATTTCATAGCCTTCAATGACCTGATGTGCGAAGTGCAAAAGCATTTCTCAAAAAGATGCAATTCTGACATAAAGTAGCTTATCATGGCAATCCAATGAACATGGACACTCATTTTCAATATAAGATGACAAAGCACACGACCAGAGTGAAATCCACACAGAGCCTACAGGTTAGAACGGAGTCTTGGACAACAGGCCCAATTTGAATCCTAACCACACTTACTAGCTACAAGACCTCGAGCAAGACTTTCTAACTCAGGTCTCACTTCCTTCCCCTGAAATAAAACGGAGGTAGTTTTAACAGGCCTCCTGACGGGCCTGGTAGGGATGAGGGGGCCTGCAGAGCAGATGCACCCCAGCAATGGCAAAGGGAAGGCCCCATGCTCACTGTGGCCATGAGGGTGGTTCTTATTCGAAGCATATCACATACACACTAAATAGGAAGACACTGTAACATGAACGCTTGCCTCTGAGACTGACAGGCCGATTCTCAGGAGCTCCTCAGCCAGCTCCAGCAGAGCGCCAGCAAACACCAGGACAAAGTTTGTGCCATCTCCAACCTCCTGCTCTTGCATGTGCGAGGCCATCACAATCATCTTAGCAGCAGGATGCTGTACCTGGTGGAGGGGTTTGAGTTTAACCACCAAGTTAAAGCACTTGATCTTTAAAGCAATATAAAGTCACCCACTCCCATTTCTTATCAACAGACTCCAATCTCCCAGTGGGCCAGTAACTCCATAGTCGTATTTCATGGTCATGAGGGGACAACCAGGTGTCCCTGGTCCCTGAGCACACATGGTCACTGTGAAGGGAAAGGACCTCAAAGTGCATATGCTCTTCATGTGCAGTCGTACATTCCCACACATCAGGCCACAACATTATTACGTTTACTAAGTTATAAACAAAGCAATTCCCACCACCAAATCTAGGCATTTTTTATCTACTTATTATTTATTTTTTAATCCTCACCCAAGGATATTTTTTCTATTGCTTTTCCGGGGGCAGAGGGGGAGACGGGGGGAGAGGGGGAGATGGAGGGAGGAACATCAATGTGAGAGAGACACATCGATTGGTTGCCTCCTGCACGTGCCCCAACCAGGGCTGGGGATCAAGCCTGCAACTAAGGTATGTGCCCTTGGCTGGAACTGAACTGGGGACCCTTCAGTCTGTGGGCCGATAATCCAACCACTGAGCCAAACCAGCTAGGGCAAAATATAAATTTTTAAAAGACATAGCTTACTTCTAGCTCTCTTAAAATAGTCGCTGCATCATTTGTCACAAACAATTTCTCCAGGTGGTTGATGACCATTTTGTTCATTCCTCAAAAATAAGTTAGAAAAACAAATCCATTATTACTCAAATCCTTCCCCAAATACCCAAGAAACCCTAGTTATGAAACATGTTGCTATGCATTCCTTAGGCAACTGGAACAGCCCATCACACACCATCTGCTATCCCACAGCTCCAGTGCACACCCGGGTCACCTCTCCCTCATCTTTCCCTGGTTACTCGGGACCATGGCAATCTCGTCTCCTTTTTGATCAATAAATATAATTTACACTAATATGCACAAAATAACCTAAAGTATATTTATTTTGCTTATTCCATAAATCTGTATTAATTAAACTCAGTTGATGGCAGGAGGCAAGAGAATTTTTTCCCTTAAATAAAAATGTTGGGCATTTGTAACAATGACCACCAGCTACTGTCTCAATGGTCAAAGCTTTGTAATTTTTCTATCCTCTTGGTAGAATAAAAAGTAACATTTTAATTCCCACTTTTCTAAAGATTATCTGGATTGCTGATTAAACACTGGACACTGACTGGTGTCGCTGAACTATGGGATAATTTTCAAAGCCACCCTGCAGGACAGCTAAATCCCAGTGCACACACAATGCTCTCCAGTGAGTCTGGGGAGCCAGCACTCGGTTCTACACTGTGTCTCTTAAAGCAGCAATCGGAAATTACCATTTGGTCCGTACGCTGTGCGAGTGGTCTGGGCAAGCTCCTTGCAGGCCTGTATGTTCCTGTACACGGCCTCTTCCAGTCCTGAGAAATGCTGTGAACAGACATTCTGATCAGAGCAGCAAAACCAGGACTTTCTTTCCCAGTGAACAGTGGGAGTTAATGACAATACCGACTGTGGGACTGTCCCGACAATCAGGTGAGACTTATGTGCATCAAGCATGGTGCCTGGTGTTCATAAAAAACCCATAAATTCGGGTGCTAGTGTAATGAAGAAAGCATGACATTTCCAGGGACCATGGTACCTACTTACCTCAAAACATAAGGTCTGCCATATTTTTAATGCAGTGAGATGTGCAGGGAGAGCTAAGAGTGATGAGAGGAGGCACTAGGCTCTTCCCAGTGAAAGTTCCTTGACTACAAGTTGAAATGTGGTTGGAAAGGTTTTCTCTTGCTGGAGCCTGAGCTTTCCAGGCCAGTAACTCCGTGTCACCGGGGAGTCCCATGGAAGCACCTGCCCCAATGCTCCGGACTGGAGCGCAGATTCCCAGTGACCTCAACTGCCACGACGCCCAGGGGTTCCATCGGGCACAGAACTGAATCGTGTTATTCTGAACTCTCGACTTGGGACCCATTACTGTGGCCTCGGGTTTCATGAGCGGCGTTCACAGGAACATTCTTAGAGCTGCTGCGCCCAGCACAACAGCCACAAGCGGCTGCTTCGCCTTTATGGGACTGCAGTGGGGATCAGTCCCTCCACGCAGGGCCGCAGCCACCGCAGAACGTTATGAAACAATGTCCCCGGGTCTCAGGAAGGCTGCTGTAATATTCCCGGGGGGAGCTGTGCCCCAAACACCAACCTAACCTCACACTGTCTTCAGCCTCATCCGCTGCCTCCCTCCCGCCTCTTCTCGCAGGACAAGCACCTGACCGTGAACCAGGCGCCAGAAGACCCTTCGGGGTAAGGCGCCCACTCTCGGGCGGTGACGAGGGCCCTCTGAGCTCCTCTCCCCATCTCCCTCCTCCCTCCTCCGCGGCCACACACGCCATCCTCAGCCCGGACGCCTGCACCGGCGCGGGGCGTCCTCCACCCCGCGGCCCCTCC